ATCGAATCATCCATAGAGGAGTGGTTGCTCAAGACCAAGAGCTTTACAAAGGTTCGAATGAGCATTTACACATTGCAGCTCGATCATTGACTCTGCAAAGGAGAGCTCTCAATGCAACAAATAATAATGAAAGAGAGAGCATGAAAAGAGAGCCAACATTTTATTAGTACAGAATATCGTGATACTCTCGACACGCTTTCGCAGGCTCACCTACTCACGTCTCTTCCCGGGGTGTTGTGGCAGTGCAGCGACATTGCAACATCCGGGCACTAACGAATCGCGTTCGCGGTCTTTCACGTTCATTGTCTATCCATCTTAGAACATAACATTTGATATTAAAAAAATGTCGAGATTGAATTACCCGAAGTCAGTCATTTCTCGAGAAAACGATAAGCCATTCCTCCTGTAGAAATTCCATTATTTATACAAAAAATTGATTTAGCTCAAATTTTATATCACAATTGCTAACATCAATTGGCTCTATACAAATTATTAACATTTTCTTCGTTTTTTCCCAATGCCAGTATGCTTTTGCAGTCTATTCATATATACATATATATATATATATATATATATATATATAGGGTGTTGAAAAATAAGTGTAAACAAATTACAAAATATATTAATTGCAATAGAATTAAATAAGTAATAAAATAAAATAAGTAAAATCATAAGATGAAAATAATAAAAAATCTTACAAAAAAATACATATGCTTATATGTGTGTGCATTGTAAAATTGCAAAGAAATGTTTAATAAGAATCTTTATGCTTTCAATAATTTTAATAAAATAAGCCATTTAGACACGCTCGCATTCGTTAAGATAAAATTAAATGAATTTCTTATGATATTGAAATTGTATATATCATTTAATTAAAACAATTCTCCTTTTTAAATAATTATATATTTTACTTAATATATGAAAATGGATATTTCTACTGAAGAATTATAATTTTTAATCGAATAATTGTATCAAATTATATCAGAAAATATTATAAGCTAGTGTCTGTAATATATGTATCTAATAAGCTTGATTTCAATATCTAAAATGATTTTTTAGTTATAATCAAATATATAGATTTAGATATATATATATATATATATATATATATATATATATATATATATATATATATATATATATATATATATATATATTTTGAATAGGTTACCATTATAGTACTACATTTTGTTAATAAATAAATTACTTGGTAGTTATGAAATTTTAGAAATCCAAATGGTAATTAATGGCTGTAATTAGATGTAGTTAATATGTTGTAATTAATAACTGTAATTAAAAGAATACATAGTATTAAGCATTAATTCTTTTATATGAAATATAAAAATTAAAAGCGATATTTAGTCATAATTCAGATGAGTTTCTTTCAAAATATTTTATAAATTACAGGTATGTTTATTCTTCAAATGTTATAAAATTGTGACATCTCGATTCAACAAAATCAAACTGATTTTAAAGAATTACTGAAAAGTTGGTTAAGCATTAATCATATCATCAAAAAAATGGTTTTAATGAAATACATCACGATGAGCTGTTGCAAATGATTTAATGATTTTACTATTAATGATTCAAGACACTCCATAGTAATACATCAGATGCAATAATATTATATAAATGATATTTCTAATTAATCATTAACGATTGGTACCATTGTAAAAAAAAAATTAATTAAAAATACTATAATTATCTTGACACTATCATTTAATAATACTTAAATTCTAATTATATTTCAATGTAGTTGTCACCGACTAATGAATTAGAGCTGTAATCATTCTTTATGAGAACCTTACGATTGAAATAAATATAAAATTTTTTTTTATGACACTCAAACATTCAAATGAGCGTACACAAATTCATTTAAAATTCAGTAAATGTGTATTAATCTGTAACTATAGTTGTTATAAAATAGAATATTAATATAATTTTTATTTAATTGGTCCTCTTATTGTAATGAGATTAGTATCAATTTTAAATGTGTTACACCCATAACATAATGTATTACTTCCATACACAATACTAAAGTATGTTTTTTCATATTATTTTGAACGATAAATTGAACTACTATTATTATTTACTTAACAAGCTTAACATAAACATAGAGTACGATAATAAATTCTACTTATTACATAATTGAACAAGCATTCATAAATTGTAAGACCAGACGTATAAAAAAATAATTTTCATAAATATTCAGGCAACATAAAATGTTATGCAAACTTAAATTTAGGTTAAATTATGGTTAAGAAGCTTTCCGTAGTAACTTATTAATGTAATTTTACCCTATCCAACTAATAACAATACGCGGTCACTTAGATACTTGAGCGTGTGAAAGGCTGATGGGAATGCACAAGTCGAATGGCCCAAACACTGATCTTCTGTTTCAATGAATTCCTTTCCAACAATTGCGATTTATTTTGCTATTTTATAGATTTGGAAATTTTAAATGAATAATAATACGTTAGAAATAAAAATAAATTGTAATAATCCCCGAAGAATTACATAAGCCTATGATGAAATACAATATTACACGTTTTAATGATTCAAAATAAAGATTTAAAATAATGAGATAATTTAGTATATATTAAATTAATTTTGAAGTGCAGATATGAGTTGATAATTAAACATTTGCTAATGTTATACTATTTATTTATCTTTATAATTTTATTTTTATAATTATGTTATTTTGCTTTAATTTATGTAAAAATATCGTTTGATTAAAATCTGATTTTTGATAAAAAAAAATGTGGGATTGACGTATTGTCGTTGGAATTCCAAAGTGAATTTTCAAAAGAAATGAATTGGTGTCAGCAATGCATCGGTCCACAATTGACATGCATCACTATCGATTGATCATTAATCATTATAAATTAGTTTGTGATTATTGACCCATGACGTTGAAAGGTTTCAATTATTTCATGTAAATGGCTGCTGTAAGGTATGATTGATGAAATGCAGATATGATTGTAGTGACTTATTACGAACTTGCTAAGCCTCTCTACAATATAAGGTAAGTACAAGATAATAGTCAATTCCTGAAAATAGCTATGCCTTTTTAATTATAACTCAATTCCTTTTTGATAATATAACAGTTATAAGTTATCTAACGCATTTATTTCTAATAATACCTTATGTGATCTAATATAAAAAAATTAATAATTTGCAATTAATGTTACAAACAAACAGAAGAACATTTATTAAATTGTAAATTATAAATTTATTTATATAAGTTTATAAATTATTAAATTGTAAGATTTTAACAAAAAACATTTATTTAAAAAATTTTGAATAATCTTTAAATAATTATTCCACATAAAAAATATAGGAAATACGAGATAATAACACTTATATTTTGAATTGATTCTATCTATATTTATATATTTGCTCATTTTACAGTTAATTATTCTGTTATGATATATGAATTTATTATAAATTAATATTTTATTAGCAAAATTTTAAATTATTTTGCTTGTAACTTAACTTGCTGCAAATATTTTCATACTGACTATGACAATAAATTCTACGAAGATCTTCTTTTGTGTATGATATTTACCATAATTATAATATTCTTTAATATTGCGATATTTATTTTGAATTAAAAGACTTTGTTTATATACATACCTATATTATCTGCTATAGAAATGAAAATTGTAAATTTTTACAATCCTATGAATGTATGTTCTTAAACGGTTTCTTATTAATTTATTAATCATTTAAATGTGTGCTTTTTCAAGCGCGTATTGCTTACGTACACAAGACTGTTCTTATTTTTGCTTCATATCTCTTCTCGAGCAGCTATAAACACTTATATTACAAATAATCCGTTAATATGTATGCAGATTAATCTGATGACCATGTTTTTTTTATAAAATTATTCACAAATAATTTATTTATTATATTAATATGTAAATGTGAAAATTTTTAATTTAAAATTAAAGTCGATAAAATACGACTATGTTAATATTTTATTTTATTGTATTGTAAAACATATTATATTGTAAAACATTTGTAATTGTCATAAATATTATGTCTGAAATTTTATAGAATCTATATTCACGGTTCTATCTCTTATTATACATATAAATAGGTATATAAATTTTCATCCAAATAATGAAAACGATTATTCTGCCAATACACTGCGTAAAAATAATTTAAAATAATTTCTTTCTCGACTAATAGCTGTATATTATAATTTCTGATAAGTTAATTACAGCAATTAATATATTTTGAGCTTTCTTTTACGTAATGATTTACTTGTATATCTATCCAATTTATAAAACAGTACAGGGTAGGGAAGTATACAGGGTACAGTATAGGGCAGTAATTGAATTTAAATTTAAATTTTTAAAGATTTTCGTTATTAAAATCAACGAAATAAATATCAAAAATACTTTTACTTTTTTTTAATGTTTTTTAATTTAAGTTGAATTAAAATTACATAACTATAATTTACTATAATTTAAGTAAAGTAATAAATTATATTAAAGTGCAAAGTTCTGTAATTAATTTTTCAAACTTTTCATGCAAAATGGTCGTTGATAGTAATTTTAAGATAAATTTTGTAATAATTGACAGTTTATTACTAAATTGTTGTGTATCCAACTTAAATATAAATAATAAAATTTAAATAGTTTAGAGGATAGTAATTTATTGACTATTATAATCCAATATCCTGTTAGATTTTAATAATTATTTACCTAATGTTAAATGGTTAAAAATGCTCTTTATCCAAATGATAGTTCATTGTCGCAAATTGTTCAGCAGTTCATTGTAAATATTTATTTTCTATACTAAATATTATGATACTTAGTTACAACCTTGTGTATAAGCCTTATTCAAATTATAATAATTAATAATGATTGAAATTTATAAACTGAAACCTCTCAACTTGGTAAGGTAGTAAGAAGCTCTTACAAAGAAAGTCGTGACTCAGAGGAAATGAAAAAAGTATAGGTATACGTATAGGTATACTTAGACACCTTGGATAAAAGTTTATAGAAAAAAATTTATTGTCGGCCTAAATTATGTACAGATATTAACGCTGTTGTGAAGGGATGTGCTGTAAATATCCCCAGGTTGCCAATTCATTAATTTCGTCTCAGTATTGTGATTGATAGCTCTGAGCCGGTTGGTAGCTCTGAGGCTGATAAGCCTGGGCCTGAGGCTGGTAGATCGGTGCCGGCGATTGGTACGATCGTGGCGCACTAGCAAAACTCTGTGGTGAACCGGGATAGGTACTGGGTCCCGGATAAGCCGTCCTTGGGATGGGACCAGGGGCTTGGTAAGGGCCAGGTTGAGGCTCGGAGTGGTATTGTCCTGGAAATGAAAGTTGCTCTGTAAGCATAATGAAATCGTATTAAAAATTAATTTTTTTTTTTTTAATTATTTCAATGTATAGGATTTCAATAAATTTTTAAAGACAAACCCTGAAAAAATATTAAACGTTATTTACTTTTCTTAAATGTCATTTTATAACGCGTCATATAAACTCAAAGATTTTTAAGGCATAAAACAATAAAGTAATAATGATTCTATGGGAATAAAAAGCATTATTAAGAAAGATATAATTGTTTACAGATTACAATATATTTAGTTTTAAAACTCAATTTCTGTGAATCTAAAGCACAAAATAATTTAGAAACATTATTTGATAAACTACGACGTATCATTGAATATTTATACAATTAATGATAATGCAATAAAGCAAGCACTACAATTGTATATTATATTGATAGATATGTATATATAAATAAAGACAGACAAATAGATATACAGATAGCAAAATTAATAGAACTATTGTAGTTATGGACCAATAAAATGAAATGCACTGCTTTACTATAAGATATAAGAATAGCGTTACAAGTAGTATCTATTTTATAATTTACTAATAGGTCTTTAATAATTTGTTATAATCATCTATATAGAACTTGAAGCTACTTGTTTCTTTGGATATAGTTTACGACTGTTCTGCAACACGTAACTTGTTTATTTACGGTTGAAAAATAAATATTCGGTAAAATAGAATATAATTATTTCATATGATTTATGATTAGTAATTATAGATCATAACTTAATTTCACATAATTTATTTAATCTAATTTCAAATGTTAAATCCTTTTTTACCAATACACTCATATAAATTAATAAATAATACAATGTTTCGACGCATAAAATATAAATTTTACACACATTAAGAGTACTGTTCTCGTTAAATTGTACAAAAATAACAAAAAAAAAAAGAATAACAAAATGCATACTTTCACTTTATAATGATTAAAAACTCTATAATCAATAAAATAATATATAATTCATAATATTTGAATAATACCGTAAATTATATCGTATGATTATTTAAGCTTGTAATTTAACATACCTAAAATAGAATTATCTAGAATATTTAAAGTAATTAAGCCATTTATATGTTATGCAATTAAATTGAAAGATCGATTACACGAAAGACGTTTTAAAAATCATTAATTTAGTAAAAATAAGAAAATGTTAATCAACTTGTTGCTTATTAAATAATGAAGAGAAATTTTAATTCTGAAAATTAATGCTTTAAAATTATTAGTACCATAAAAAACAAATAATAATGACCTAATCAATAATAAGAATTAAGAAATTGCGTTAAAACTTTCGTGCGCCAGCAAAATTGTGCCAAATAAGCCCCACAATAACATCGCTTTGTTTTCTAAAATTAGGTAAATTATTATCTCCCACTTGTGATATTCTGCAACAAAACAACATTTTTATCGTCTGAATTCTTGCAATCATTCCACGATCAAGCTAAGGATTACGATTTCCTCACAATCGTTCATCATTGGCTATAATTCGCAATCAACCTTCACTTCGCATATTTCGTGATTTTATTCTTTTAGCTATACAAAACGCGTTAATAACATTGATTTTGATTTGCTGTAACACGAGTAACGTTAGAGTGATCGAGAGCATCAATGTTTCGAGGACCGGTTTCTACTGAAACATCGCTTTTCCGTTCGCCACCGATTTTTTTTTTTTTTTTTTTTTTGACAATACAAGATGTAAAACATAATCGGCAAGATAATACTTCACGACCTTTTCTCATAAATAATTAAAGGAAATTATAATTTCGGCAACGGAATTTATCGAATATATATAAGAGTTGGGAATTACATTCACATCTACTTTTCTATTGAAAATGAAAAAGAATGTTTAATATGTTTCATTGAGAGAATCATAATTATAAAATTAAAAAATTAATAATTCGCAACGATTTAATTTAAAGAGTTTAAATTGATGTATAGTACATTTAATAAAAATTTCTGTATGTATGAAAGAATTTATTTCTTGTATCCAGACAATCCTATATATATATATATATATATATATATATATATAGAATAGTAAATAATTGATTAGATATCATCCAAACTTTAATGAAATAATAAAATAATGTTTTAATATTTAATATTAATATTTTCTTTTATCTAACGGTAAATCGGCTATTCGTTGATCTGAGTTTAATTGAGATTAATTGAGTATCAATACTAAAATATAATTTTATTCTCATTGCAGAAATTGTAAGTAATAAGTGTGAGCATATTAATAATAAAAATTAAAATATTATAATTCAATATCTATGATTATCCAACTATGCATTAGCCTATCATCATAATCTTAATAAATGTGTTGTTCGCAAGCTTTATATTATTATTAATAATACTTTTTGATTACTTAATTCGAAAAAGTATCGGGGCTATAATATCATAATTCACCTAATTTACATCGCATTAATCATACGAAAACTCATTACGCCAACAGACGAGTAAAGCTTGTCGCGAGATCTTAAATCCATGCATGTACTCACCGAATTAAATTATATGCATAAAAAGCAATCGATCCGATCTTATAGAATGCGAATTTAATTAATTTAAATAAGAAAAAGGAATAGAAAAGGCCTGGAGTTGAAATTGCAAACGCAATCTTGCACTCTTACAAAAAGGACACGCAGCTAGGAAAGTTCACGGGGCTAATATATAAGGTAGAGTCCTGAAAACCGAGTAATATTTTGCCTGGGCAGGTGAACGATATACTCGAGTACCTTGCCCCTCAGCGGGGAAGTCGTCGGTAGCTCCGTATTTATAGGCCCTGGCTTCGGCCTCAGCGAGCTCCTGGAGCCGGACGGCCTTTAAGGCGGCGACCTCAGGCGTGTCGATTACGGTACCGTCGTCAGCAAGAGGTGCGGGTACAAAGGGAGCCTTCGCCCCAACGGGCACCTGGAAACGCTTAGGCTCGGGGCCGTAATGCCCTTGCTGCTGATGGTAGGCGGGGTTCGGAGCCGGGCGTTGGAACTGAACGGCTGCGGATGCCACGGGATAGCTGGCCTGGGAGTAGGGGGCGCCAGCCGTCGATGAAACGGCCTGTCCAGAGTACGCGTACGCTGGCCGAGGGACTCCGGAGAATCGAGGCCCAAAGGCTCCGGGTTCCTGGGACTTGTCCTCCGCGGCCCTGGCAGCCGCTCGGGCAAACTCAGCGAAGTGCGCGGCCTTGGCTTGGGCGACCTCGGGCGTGTCAACGACACTGCCGTCTTCGCCGACTGGAGCCGGGGGCGCCGCATACTGGGGCGCAGGGGCCGCATGATAGGCGGCACCCGGATGACCCGGATACTGGGCCTGGCTCGCCACTATCGTGCACAGGAGGAGCATCTGTCGACCGAGCAATAATAGTTGCGGTAAAAGGTTATGCAATTGGATTAACGTTTTTTTTTTCAAAATTTACCTCGATCGCGACCTTGAGCATTTTAACGTCGATTTAGTGTAATTGAATAGGGAATCATTCGAAAAGGACGTGATAAATGACCTGATTATGCGTATATTTTAGCGGGTATCCGCAGTTATTTCTTAATTTATTTTATAAGACGTTATGTGATATAGATATGTTCCATTTTATGAAGATAAAGCAGCTACATTAGTTTATATTAGATTTTAATATCATTTGCAAATTCATATAAATTATAATGCGGCTACTGTACTTACGAGCAATTAAATAAGTTGGATTAATTATATATTATACAACTGACCTATTCATTGGTATTTAAGTATACTTGTAACTTTTGTAAATATACTTCACCATAATTGGACAACTTTAGCATAACGAGGGTTGTTTTATTAATTTTAATAGTTTATCTCGTAACTGTTAATAATAATATTGATGACCTACAATTAAAACTTTAAAATTGTTTTTCAAATTCTGCTTTAATTTGATATTTACATCTGTGTAAGTAGTTGTTGAAAAAATCAAACAAAAAAAAAAACTCCAACAGAAAAATATGAAAGTATCAAAAAATAGAACACGTTTATAAAATTTAATGAGCATTATTGTTGATAAATATTTTCATGGCATGCAGTTAACAACTACATTTTTTTACCTAAACGTTCATTAAAATTTTATTTAGAATTATAACTGCCGTAATTCGAAATATTCTAATTGAACTTCAAATGTTCATTGGGTTTTTGTAATATCTCATAAAAGGCTACTCATTTCTTAAATAATTAGAATATTTTTACTAAAAGTGAGCAAAATTTCAAAGATGTTGTCATAATTAAAGTAATAAGCATTAGCGAAAGGAAGGTAAATAATTGATTTTTGCTTTAATCTAAACAATAATTTAATTGCTTCAATATTTAATACAAAAGAGAGTAACGAGATTTTGTAAGTAAGTATAAAGGATATTTAATTGTAAGTATTAAGAGCAATCAAAAATGTATTTTATTTGTGTTCAAAATCTAATGAAATATTTCAATATTCTAGATATAAAGTTTATTTAATAAATATAATTTCTAAAAATGGTTTGAAAATTCTGGAATAAGAAATAAATATCTTTACATATAATGTACATCTTAATTATATTAAAATGTGCAACAAAATACAATTATTATCTTATAAATATACATAATAATATTGATTGCCAATTCACGTTTGATTCTATTACAAGATATGGATTAAATTACACCTACCTTAATAAACATTAATTAATTTCATTATTAATATTAATAAAAATATAAATACAATTGCTATTAGTATATATGATTACTCAGTAACTATTAAACGTAGCTAATGTTACAAATATAACAGACAAGAAACTTTGCCTTTAAATATTACAAGCAAATCAAATATAAAATAATTTCGTTATTGAATAGTTATGTATAAAATGCAGTATAAATAAATTACTTTCATAGATAAGCTTGCTAATAATTGTTCTTTTGTTTCATTAATTACGTAATCAACTTATAGTATTTTATTCCTGATCCATTATACCAAAATCATTGTATATACCAAAAATTTTATTGTGCTGCGATTTGATATAATAATAATCGATTTCTTGTAATTGAAATGTTTTACGATTATTCACATTTTTACATAAAATAATTCCAATTCAATATAAATAATTCTTATTTTTTATTAACAATAGGAAATTAGAGTATTCACTTTACCAAATATATGAAATATATGAACGATCATTAATTATTATCAATCAAATGTCCATTATTAAATCAAGTTTATCGCTTGAAATAGAAAGTTAATTATGATTTTAGAAAAGAAAAATATTGTATTAAGAATATTTTCATTATCCATATTTTCACTAATATAAATGATGCTACTTCTATTACTATATGTGTCAATTGTGAATCTTATTTAATGTTTAAGAGGAAATTTAATTTAAAAAATAATCGAACACTTAGAGACCCGTGCGTATGAGGTATAAAAAATATCAATCACATATAATTATTATAATACAATAAATATCTTTGAAAATTATTATAAAATTTTTGCAAATTCATTTTAATAGTTTTCATATTAAACTATACCAGTATTCGTAAATTCTCTTATTATGTCCTATTGTAAAATATAAGAACGCCTGTTGCGTCATATTATTAGGAATTTCGAAATATGTGTATCGTATATTTTTGATGAAATGTTTTGGGCATTAAGAAATGTGTTCGAAAACTAAGTATCTACACAATTATATCAGAGAATGAAGATAAAAATATCGCGCATATATTTAAAAGGCTAAGGAACCAAAGAATTTAGGCGAGAGTAATCACGTGCTTAGAAAAGTAATAGCGGTGAGATAAAATAATTCCAGGCATCGGGTCCGTTAATCGGTAGCATCTTAAAAGCTTTCCAGTACTTGTCGCGGGCCCCGTGAGGTCGGGCGCGGCATCGTGACCCGTTTCAGCGAGACTGCGTTTCTCTCCGCACCCGAGTTTAACCTTTCACTTTCCTTTGTTTGAAAATATCGGTATCCGCGCTATCGTTTGCCTACCTGACCGCTATCATCGCCACAATCGGCCATTACCACCACCGCCGCGCCCACCACCGTCACCACCACCACCAACACCGCCACCACCACCAACACTACCACCGCCACCATCACCACCACTATCACCGCCACCACACGTGTGCAAGGGCGCGAGTACAAAAGGTTCAAGAAATAGCAAAATCCCAACTCACCAGCGTATAAGTCATCTTCGCTCGTTCCTCAATCCTTCGCTTACTACTTTAATTGACGTTCGGTACTTCGGTGTGCCCAGCTAGTTGTTAAGCTACTTTACGTCTTGACTCTGCTAAGCACTCCGGCCGACCGACGCGGTTCGCGCTCTCCGTAATATACTCAGAGAACGCGGGGAGTCTCATTTATAAGTCTGTAGGACTCCCCGCCCACACCCTCGGCTGGGCCGCGGCGGGAGCGCGTACCCACACGCGCACGCTACCACAAGACAGCCGATCTCTCTCTCTCTCTCTCTCTCTCTCTCTCTCTCTCTCCCTACCTTCCTCCCACCCAGAGTCTCTCTCTCTCTCTCTCTCTCTCTCTCTCTATATATATATATATATATATATATATCTAGCCGTCTATCTATCTATCTATTATCTGTCTGTCATTTTTTGTAGGTGTAGGTGTATGACTGAGAGAGTGAGTTTGTGTGTGTAGCGCGGACGGCGCCATTTTCCTCTCCCATTTTCTGCTCTCACGCCACTTGGCGGACCGCTTTTCTTCATGTTCTCCTTCGTGTCCCTTCCCGATGGCCTTGCAACCTTGACACTTCAGCATGAACCGAACCCTCTTATATTTTTTCTGCCTTTCTCGTACCTTAGCGTTTCGCTTTATCGTGCAGTCGATTCGACCGCGACAAGGGTCGTCTGAACACGGAAAGCGTAGGATATCCGGAAAATGGGAAATACGTTCGATTTATTGAAGGAGTGATCATGGCTTATATAGAATGAAATTGTCCAGTTTGTTTCATATGTGATTGTGTATGAAGTCTTATTGACTTATAGACGATGCAGTTGAATATATCGTAAGAACGGTGACAGTCGAACTTTCTTACATTGAATCTGTGTGATTCTACATTTATTGATATTATTTACAATGAAAACCTTTTTGAGTTATTACAGAATTTTTACATTTCAATAACTGAGGCTTATGAACATAGAACGTCCCTTAAAACTTCTTGCGCTTCAACTGTTTATCCAATTTTTATATCTAGTATTAAAATATCTAAACATGTTGTAAAGATTTTATCTAAGGTTTGGATATAAAGTAAAACTATCTAGTATAATATGCAAGACATATCATAAGTAAGAATCACTTATCATAAATACTAAAACTTTTTTTTTTAATATATTAAAATTAATGATTTTTTATCATTCACATTGATATAAGATTAATAAATAAACTAAAAAGATTAAAATCTAAATTCGTTTACATGCATGTGTTTTATCCATACATTAACAATAACACTTTATAATTCATTTTTTCATTTTTACATTTTGTAAAGTAATAACATCTCAAAAGGCAAAACTGAAACTATGGAAATATCTGTAAAGCAATCTTTTCGATTTATAGTTGTCAATTATAATTAATAATTGATTTTTTTTGTTTTTATATTAATTCATACTTGTTAATTATATTATTAATTATATATTCGTTATAGTATTACAAAATTTGTTTGTTTAAAAAATATTTATTATAAGGCCAATCTAATATTTACGAGTATTATATACATATAAGTATATGAAAGAAATACGTAAAAGCATAAAAAGGTTTTGTATCCAAAATTTGATTTAAAACCAACTGTATGACTATTCTATTGATAATATTAACAAAAATAAATGATTTTCATCATAAGGTGGATATATTTATCGTTGAAATTCATTAAAATCATCAATATGACTTTTTAATCCTATAAATATTTATAATACAATTATATTATATGGTTACTGAGCCGTTCAGAAATGAAATAAAATTATGTCGAATGGTCATGACTCTTAAAACTATATTTAGGGTTAATAAATAAATGTGTATGTTTTTATATTAATCATATACAAAGTGAAAACTGTAACTTTTATGAACTGATAGTTTAAATACATTTGGAAGATGTTTAATATATAATGATACTCATATATATTTAATTAAAATTAATGTAATATATAATAAATTATAGAAATTAACTCATTCATATATAAAATTATCCCGAAAAAAATTAATTATAAAATTAAAGCACAAAAAACATATTCTATATATTCTCTCAAAAGTTTTAAATCTAAATTTAAATGAAAATTTCTAATTATATAGAACTATTTTTTTATTTAGTATTAATAAATCCATTTAAATATTGTACATTATTTATGTATTAATTTTTGTAGTATGACACTTCTTAGTTTGATAACGTTTAGTTTGCCTACAAATTATAGTATTTTTATTTAAAAAAAAGGAATTATAGTATAATTTTCACTTACTAATCATAATCATAATTATTACAATTAAATGTTTTTTTACTATTTTATTATTATTGCAATATTGTATATAAAACTTTAACTTGTTTTTATAATTCTTAACTTCTGAATTGAAAAATTGAAAAATTTCAAATTTTCCGTAATAGTCATATACGTTCTTTTTATAATATATATATATATATATATATATAATTTATTATTGCTCGATTATTATAGAAATAGTTTTATCTCAATGTGAACGTTTATTATATCAAAATATAATAAAATGAGCAGGTAATTATTATCAAAACTTAATATCGAACCTTGGATAACCAGTTAAAATGGTTAGTACATAACTAAACATATCTGATAAGTAGTGATAAATTATCTACATGAAACCTTACGCATATGAGTTCATAGGATAAAGTATTTAGATCTTAGGTTGGACAATATAGATGTAAAATAAAATAATGATATGAAGCAGATAAAATAATAAATTATAATAACATTAAATATAATTGTGACGTTTTATTTTGTTCTATTAATGTAAATGTCATATGACATTTTCCTGTTAAAATTTTAAAATTGTATATTCTACTTTGATTTTCAGTATTTCAATTGTAATTATTCGCCTCAATTGATCACTCTATATTACTTAAATACTACAACAAAATTATTCTTCCAAAGAATAAAATTACTCATTTATCATTTTATATTATTATACAGATACAATAGCTTTAAACTTGCGAGAAACACGTCGCATACATGATTGCGTAGAAAGTAATTGAGAAGCAGGATACCACAAATTTAGTAATACTTTAAAGATATAGTAATTAATGCTATTATAATTAACCTCTTATGATATTTTGGGTGAAGATATTACACCTTCAATATTAATATCACATAATTATAAGACTCTTATAATTAATTAAAACTACATAATAATTTCGCAAGTAGAACATAATTTATAATCTTTATAATTAATTTCTATTAGTACAAAATTTCTATTTTTTACTGATATTTTTATATAAAATTTAAGATTCTTTGTCATAGCCTATAATTATATATGTGTCGAAGAAATATTATTATCTTTTTTAAATTATACCTCCTAATAAATTTCAAATATTTTAATTTCATTGTTTTTCTATTCTTTAAATCCTATGAATGTTTATCGTTTAAAACAATTCTTTACACAAATCGTTTGAAAATTTCCATTATATTTCACATCTATTTATGATCGATATTTACATTTCACTAATTTAAATCTCTACTTTATACCAGTAATTAGTGTTACAAAATAATGAAAGGTTTTTTCAGCATATTATCATTACTTAACTACGGGCATTAATTTGTGTCTCATGGCATTGAATGACTTGAAAGTGATAGAAAATAATTTTCTTGTTTAATTATTACATGTCAATAAATTACTTCTTCTCATAGTATATTGATAATTGTTCATGACTACTCAACTTTTTTTTATTTTAAGCAGCCAATAATTAATATATTTACTGAATAAATCGAATAATTAGTTTTATATATTAATAATATTTTGGAATATTAAGATTATATTAATTGAAAGTACAATTACTAATATATGTATGTGTGTGTATTTTTAAAGGTAAGGTAAATCCAAAATATTCAACTATATTAGTTAAGTTAGTTATAAAGAAATTAAATTATAATTTTTTGGAGAATGTCAAGATAAAGTCATTGAATAATGACTTTTAAGGTATGAGTAATCCTTGTGTATAATCATTAGCTCCAACTTCTATTAAATACTTATCTCTATAACTTACGCAAAAAATGTCGCTATTGAAATGCACCTCCCACTAATCAAAAGAATAAATTAAATATTTTGAACTTTGTGATTCATTAGGATAAACTTTTATAAGTTTATTTCACAAAATAATTTTAAATAAAATTATTTATTACAGATTTTTTTATAAAAAAAAACATCTAAACGCCAATAAAATAAAATAAAATATTCTATTGAGAATTGTTGATTTACAATTTAAGCAAATAGAAATATTATTTATTAAGCAACCAATGAGCCAATGTAGATTATGATATAGACATCAAATTGACAAAAATACTATAATAGAAATTCTTAATAAACTAATGAAATCTATTAAAGAATTAGGTTATTTATAAATAAAATATAATATTCGGCAAGTATTTAAACTTTCTTCTATAAAATTCAATATTTATAATCCTTTATTATACCTCACTGTGGAATAAATTGCATCTATTAGATTTTTGTACATAATAGATCTTTAATATCCTGTTAATTCAAAATTAATATCGTATAGTTTAACTTTCAAAAATCATATTCATATTAGTGATTATTAACTAATAAAACATCAAATATACATTTTAAGTGTATAAAAACTTACAGATAATATTACTCTGAAATTTCCGACTATCAATCAATAATAAGTATCTTTATTTTATCAAAATATTATAAACCCAAATGAAAATTATAAACCTATTATTTTAATATTCTTAAATTAAATCAATTATCATCAAGTATTATTTAAAAATTAAATTTTCTCAAATATGCGAATAATTACATAATCACTAATACTGCCATTGGTACGCTCAAAGAAACGGAATATGTATGTGTTAATAAAAATCAATTTATTTACTATTTTATATATTTTGACTTAAATTAGAGTAACTTTTAAAAACAATGTACAAATCTCATTTTTAATTATCCAATGTCTTTATTGTTCACGGAAATTGAGAAAACCATGTTATTTTCTAAAATAACATTTTTATAATTAAGCTTAGTCAACCTGAAATTTAATTAATTGGAGTACAATTAATTAAAAATTTTTATTTTTTATTATAATAAAAAGTTTATAATTTAACTATCTGTAATCTT